TTTGGAGACACTTGGTCGAGTGCCCTGCACACACACACACACACACACACACACACACACACACACACACAGACACGCATACAAACATATCCATGAAGATGTGTGGGTAGATGCCCTTCCTCCATGATACAGTGTGTTGTTATCCGTCCAGCCCGCTTGGTTCAGATTGCACTAACCTTTCCTCCCCACGTGGGGGCGATGTTTCTCTCTCTTTCTCTCTGTCTCTCTCGCTCATGGAGAGGCAAGTATAAACTGCTCAGAAAGACAGTGACTTTTGCACAGGAACAGAAAGTCTATTTTTTAATCTTATGCAACAAAGATCAGATTCTTTCACTGCAGGCTAAATGAAAGGAGGGGAACATCATGTCTGTCTTTTTTTATGTTAATTTATTCCGTTTCAGCATGGTTGCATTTTCAACTACACTGCTCCTCTCTGTGTCACTGGGAACTGACCACTGAACAGCCCCACCGGAGCATTTGGAGTTTAAGCTCAAATGCTTGAGGGCAGTTGTCGAAGGCAATGAGTGTTTTACTTTTTCTACTCAGATTCTCTCAGACTGTTCATCAATTTAAAACTGGCAACCTTTAAATCACAGGTCTGTTTCTTTTATTTAAAGGTACCACCAGCCATGTGTCATTAGGTCTAAAATCCCACTTTCCTGCTAGTGCAATCCAAGATGGTAGTTCAAGAACATAACTGGGGGGAAAAAATCTTACACGGTGGCTGAAAATATTTGAAAAGCTAAATGTCATTAAAAGTGAGAACACTTAATGCAAGACAGACAGATTAAACCAAACCACTGAAAACTTTTAATTGTGAGGCATTTAAGTAGTAATAAACTGTGAGTCATGAGTGTCATTGATTGGATAGTGTTTTTTCTGTTTTGATTCAGCCAATTTAAAACAACTTAATAAATGTTTTGGAAAAAAAGTTATTCATCTTTGGCTAGATTCATATTTGAATCTTGGGGGTGGGAGGAAATCCTGTAAATTAAATTTAAAATCGGTTAAAGTTCGTTTCTGATTGTACGGAACAGTCACAGACAGAATGCTTTTGTTTTCTTCAACATTAAAAAGAAGAATTAAATCTGAGAAACAGCGCTGGACGGAGTGGGGACATCACATTTAATTGCTTACAAAGTGAGTATTTATGAATTTACTCAACAATGAAAGCCACTCAAGACTGCAGCGTCACTTGGCTGTTGGAGCATGGAGCATTATATTTAATTTAATGAAGAGTCTGTGGCACTTCTGTCATTGCACTGGTGGCTAGCCTTGTAGTAGGTCTTTGTACATGTACTAGATTTTCATACTTTTACTCGTACGTATACCTATTACTGATGGCAGGCAGTATGTAATTTGGCTTGAGTAGTCTTACTGCTGAAGGCTTTTTTGGACTTGTCCAACACTCTTTTTCCAAACTAACTACTGAAATGGATTTTGGGATATTTCATTATCAGAGCAATACTGCAAGCAAAGTAAGTACACAGTTTAATCTTGGCTATGCATTGTCTGAACTCTCTGTGTTTTCACCACTATGGGAAAAGTTCATGTTATTGGCTTTACAAAAAGCTCGGATTGCATTCAATGTAAGATCTGCTCATGTGTCTCTTTGTCACTTTCCTCGACCTTGTTATCAGAAGTTTGTGAAAATTGGAATAGGAAGCATCGTTAAAAAGCTCATATTACAGAATTTAATGATCCTGGTTCCCTGTGATGATACTGAAATTTACTCAAACATGTCCATGGTTGTAAAGATGTAAATGCTCCTTTGCAGATGAAACTAAAAATGGAAGGACATTTGGGAGTCTTGGGATTTTTAAGGTGAAAAACTATCCTTCAGATGGGAGATATGAGAGAAAATGTCATTTTCTTGTTCATAATAGAATGATTAATTAATTTTCTGTTGTACAATCAGATGCACCTGTGTACATATGACCTCTTTCTGTAACTAAAAAAATGATTTAGATACCCTTCGTCTTGAGTGTATATTTTAATGAAAAATAACAAATAAATTTACATGAGCTGCAAAAACAAACATTTCAGTCTTTTTTTTTTCCACTGTACTGCCTGAAGCAGCACTAAAGGGTGTGGATGGGGAGGAAGCAAATATAAACAACACTGACTTACAAAAATATATACATGCAGGTTGCCTATTATGGAGTGTACTGAATGAATTTCCTCAGAGGTATGTCCTTTGAATGAATAGATACTGCATTTAAAGCAAACGTTTTAACCACAATAACAGTTAAAGGAGCTTTAATTACATTGGTCCAACAATGGGCCTTTTTCACAGCAGACATTTTTCACTTGTCACAGAAAGAAAAGCAAAAGCTTTATTAATAATAATAACAATGGCTCTGTTATATTAAAGTGTTCTACTAAGTCATGACAATATGAAATGTAGTCTGCATGCACAATGGACCTTCTTCACAGCAGCCATTTGACATAAAATAGTCAGGTAAACACAGGCGTTACCAATTATACTAATTAAGGCTCTGTTCCATTTAATGTAGCAGAGCCTTTCCAGTGAGTCAACATGCACCGTAGGACACCCTGACTCTGTTTGACCTGATTGGAACAGAACCTTAACTAGTGTCATTAGTAAACTGTCTTTACCCTACTACTTCTTGTCAAATGGCTGCTGTGAAAAAGGTCTATACCAGGAAACTGAAGTAGCTAAATGTCAAAACGAAGTTGAATGGTGCCGTTTCACCAGAACTCAGGCAGAGGGTGCTAGAGAGCGGAGAGTATTTGTGCTGCAGTTCAGCAGATAGGCTTTTGGAAGACAAAATGAACATGTGTGATAGAAGCCGTAATATAAAGCCTGAATGTTTTGGACAATATTTAACAACATTTAATATGTTTCCAGAAACCATGTTCCAATTACTTTGGATAATCTACACACTCACTTCAGTGTCAACAGTTTTTATTGAAACTACTGAAGAAATAGTCCCTGTTAAATCTGTCGACAACAGGTTTTATGTTTCTGTCTTATTCTGTCTCTTCGGCCCTTTAACCCAGCACATCTACTCATAGGAAAGAGAAACTCCTGAGTACATTAGGCCTTAAATGAAGTAGTCATTTCCACATAACAAAGCATTGACAAGTAAATGTATAAACAAAAAGTGCAAAGAAAATGAAACATCAGTGCAGGTAACAGACTGTTTTCATGTATCTGTGGTCAGGTTGAATGACTGATTTGATATGACAATAAGCTGATATCAGCACACCGATAGGTCAGTCTAAATCTAGTATGTCACATAAAATACAGCCTGTAGAAACTGAAAAAAGTGACTAGTGTTTGTACCACCGTCTCTTGGCACATTCAGTGATAGGCTTCTGGACATAGTTTGTTGTTTGTCTTTTTTTTAAATGATTCTCTATTCAGGTTATGTTCAGCTATAAAGCAGCATGTCCAGAGCTGGCAGGGATTCAGTGTCTTGCTCAAGGGCACTTCAGAAGGGCTCATATTGCAGTTGTAGCCCAGACCTTCCCAGTGAAGGCTGGTTTTAAGGTTCCAGGCATAGACTTCCAGCCACCAGCAACAGCAGAACAGTCAGGTTTGGGGCACTGAGTGGATTTGAACCACCGTCTGTAATGACTTCCAGTAAAGGCGTTGTACTTCTACTAGCAGGTGTGGTGCTTCCTCTTAACTCAGTCACAGAGGCACCTTTTGTTGTAGAAGCTACGGTTGTAGTCCCCATTACATCTCCAGTGTTTTCTTCTACGGTACCCCCAACAGACGCTCCGTCTTTGGGGGACTGCTGGTCTGAGACATCCCCGTCTGCAGTCTTGTACCACTGGCACTGAAAGTCCTTCTTCCAGATCTCTGCAGGGTCTGGTTCAGCTGGCTTAGTGATTGTGTCCGGCTGATCTGTGGCTTTTGCTGCCTCTGGCTGAGAAGTTCGACACAAAAATAATGTCAATATCAGAAAACATTGCTGCTGTAATTTTCATAGGCAGTAGTGAAACATTTTCTAATATCAGTCTGAAGATTACATTGTGTGGCCCAAATTAAAAAGGAAATACATTTTTTTTATATTGTTCTGAGGTTACAGCAATATTCATATTTTATATTGCATTGTATTTTTATGACAACCGAATATTGCCATAGCCCCATGCAGATATTTCCAAACAGTGATGAGTGTTCCCAGAGGAACACAGTGTTCTTGTGTTTAGTGCTGTAGGATCAGACTCCACTGGATCTTTCTCTGTTGTGTCTCAGCTACTGTTTTCCTCTCTGCTTTCTTACTGTCTAAACACAGAAGATCCTCAGGCAACTACACTCCCTGCTGATTCCCCCCCCCATTTTTTTTTTTTTATAAAGTCTTGGTTATCAGTCGTGTCTCAAAATGAGTTGTTCCGTTTCCAACTTTCCACACAGAAAGAACATGAACTTGTGTTTCTTTACATGTGCCTTCCACCATGTGTACACAGGCTTTTATGGATCAACTCTTCAGTAGCAGCAAGGGGGAAAGGTGAATGAGGCATTCACAGCTTTTTGCCTTTTCAGCACATACTAACCTCTTATATCGCACCAGTCTCATATATGTTGGTCAACCTTTCTACAGGCATGATTTCACAGTGGCACAGCCTGCTCCACAAATAATGCACTGACTTAAAGACAGAAACGCACTGTAATACTGGTGTACACTGTTTATTACATACACCTTGCTAAAACTTGAGTTTGGTCAATTTATATAGCCTCCAAAATGACCATAAGGTTGATACCAATACCCCTCTAAAACGATTTCAACAAAAACATGAGACGTTAAGTTTTATTACTGTGTTAGACTGCAGTCGTTTAGGCTACATGTCGCTAATTAACTGGAAACTCAGTCTAAATTACACTTGTTTCATCTGTCATAAGACTCTTAGGTTCACCACAAGTACTGAAGTGTGCCATGGCTTTGCATAATGACACAAAGCTGCTTTGATGATGTTGCCATTGCTAGACCAAGGACATAACAAGTCTTAGTTATTATCTGAACAAGGTTAAACAGGCCTCTGTCAACATCTATTTATGGCTCACTGTAGAAGTGGGCATCAAGCTCGTGCTTGTCAACAGGATTAATGATAACTGGAAAGTGATGCATAAGCAGGGCGTCATGAATCCAACGCAAATACTTAAAATTACATCGTCTCACCTTTTCTGTCACCTTCTCCACCACTTCAGATGGGCTTGGGAGGTGGAGATAGGCGGAGCTTTCTGGATTTTGACGGACACATCGGCCCTTTCCCTGGCACAGAGAGGCTGAGCAGAGTCGAGTTGCCGTGGTTACGTTGGTGGTGTAGGGTCCCAGGACCTTACGGACAAACTCGGCCAGGTCTTGACACTCTCTCTGGGAAATAAACAGGCAAACAGTTTGATGTAAACAGGAAGCAGGAATAGTGGTGTGTGCTGATGGTTACAGTTGATACTTCCAACACAAAGCAACATTTGGAGATTTATTAGTGAGATGAAAAAGTTAAATGGTGAAACTATTATATACACTTATAGACACTACATATATTATACTATTATATACACTTATAGTTTATAGACACTATTATAGTGTCTATAAACTGAAATGAACAAATTGATTACGTCTATAATTATCAGTGGCTGGATAAGTGTGCTGAGATATTCGTGGGTGTATGTATTTTATGCAAATCTATAGTTGTGTACCTCTGTCTTAGTCTCACTTCTCTCCCAGATGACAACCCCGGCTGTTCCCATGGCAGCGCTCTCTCCTATGGTGCTCACCAGGTCTGCCTGTTAGAAAGAAATTATACAAAGTCGATATAAAAGAGTCACAGCACAGCACGCTCTTTTTAACTTATCTCTTTGAGCTTGTGCCACAGTATGATACACTATAAACACCATTACACTAGTCATATGGGGCCTTTATTTATCTATTTACTTAGTTTAGTTTATTTCACGTGTGGACCAATAACACATTTCAGCTTTTTAATTATTCTCTTTTCCAATTTAAACTATGCGGCTTTAGAAACGGGGAATAAGCACTGTGATACAGTGTGAATCTACTTCTGTCCTCTCCCCTTGTTCTACTTTAGCATTGATCCATGTCTAGGGCACTTGGATAAAATACTACAAATACCAGATGTTCTCACCTGAGACAGGAAAGTATTAGTGGAGGCGTAGACGCTCTTGACCAGTGGGAATACAGGAAGATCAAACGGCATCCCAGTCAGAGATGAAACTCGAAGTGCTTCTCTGATTTGACTGGACAAATAAAGCATGGCTCCAGCTGTCCCACCCTATAAAGTAAGGGGACGGATTGTACACATTTGTACCTATAAACCAGGTACAGTTATTGGAAATATTCCAAACTTCTGTTTGGTTACAGAGACGTAGTTATACAACAATAAAGTGTAATCTGTTTTTGTCCACTAAAGTTTTTTTCACAACTTTTTCCCGTGTCGTAGATAAAGGGGTTTATATCACAAGGTTCCACACCAGCCTGAGGAACTGAAACAAGATTGTCTTTCTAAGTTACAAGAAACTGAGGTTTGTTGGTTTTGCTCTGTAAGTTTTTACAAAACCTCACTGACTGAAATGGAACATGGCATTTTTCATTTCACTTGAATTATTTTTTTTTTTTGCACTCGTGTAGATGTTGTTAACTGCTCAGGGGACAAACTTCTGTTAGACAGTAGATTTCACCTTTTTCGTCCTGATTGTTTTGTTCCAGCTTATATCCAATAAAGTTTAAGTACTTATCTGGAGAAAAAAAAACATTTCCCTTGAGTAACCATTAGGTTTTCTATGTTCCCGCTATAAATGATTCTCTTTATAATTATATTAAGTTTAGATTTTAAGGTACGTAATTATAAAATCCTAACCTAATATAAAAATGGGTTAGGGTTAAGGTTAGGGTTAGGTAACAACAAAGTCACGTTACCCACCTGCAGCTTCTCCAGGGTAAGGACAGGGTAGAGGGCGGAGCATCGTTTCCACAGCCACAGAAGCTCGTCGTTAAGGGCCATTTCTGCAGCAGGGCACTGGCCGGTGTAATTGGCTAACATGGTTTGGGCGGGATCACCATTGTAGCAGCTGGGGTAAGGGGAGACGCCCCATAATGCTTTGGGTCTTAACCTTTTGACCTCCCGGAGAGTCTCCATCATTACTGACTGGGCTGCTGCCTCGAAGTCCACCTGTAATGAGATCAATATAGTCTTTCAGTCCCCTCCAGACATTTATTTGTAGTTATATATTGTTTTTTTTTTTTAAGTTATTATGAATTGTCCTAAAGAAATCATCAAACTTGAGCAAAGTGTTGGGGGATACGTCAAAGATTTTGCTGCACAGTCTCTGAGGTAGCTCATATTAATAGCTGTGGTTATTAGACCATTACGGACAATGTTGCAGATCAGTGAGCATGACTGCTATGGCAGTATTGGATTTATTCACCATTTATGCACCAATAGGATGAACAACCTAGATTTAAGCTATTTAAGGGAATAGTTTTCTAAGCTTTAATACTTAAAAGTGCATAAAATGAATAACTGTATATAAATTAAGTATACTCACTTTCTTGTCAAGAGTTAGACGAGTAGGTTGTTCCACTTTCATGTCTACGTGTCCATTAAATATGAAGCTGGAGCCAGGGGACAGTTAACTTATAATAACATCTCTGAAGCTCACTGATTAACACACTATAGCTTGTATCTCCAGCATTTTCTTCTACTGTACCCCCAACAGATTCTCCGTCTTTGGGGGACTGCTGATCTGAGACATCCCCGTGTGCAGTCTTGTGCCTTTACGACTCGTACAAAAACTGAGGTGTAAAAGCATTATGGGGCGGATTACTGCTTGACCAGACGCAGCCGTTTTTACACATACTATATGTGGTAGTACTATAAGCAAACTACTGGATGGGGTCAAACATGTTTTTACCCTTTGTTGCACCATAGAGAGAAAACCACTTTGTCCGGGTGAGTCACATTAAGTAACTCTATGCTGTAAACTGTAACTCTTCCTCCTTCAACCTCACTCTTGTGGTGCCCTCATGTTTATCCTGCCTGCCAAACTGCTTCCTCATTTTCCCTCCTCCCTTTTCGTCCTTTGGTACCTCTTTAAAGGTGCTCACATCTTAACATCATAATGAAAAATCACTGCCAACATAATTACGATACTTTTGGTGTAATGTCCAAAAGCAAATGTTACCATAATGGTATAAGTGTCCACGTCTCAGTGGATATTTGCATTTTCCATCAAAGTGTTTCATCAAAGATGTTCTCTTAACTAAAGAAGAAACACTTTTGGATGTGGGTTTTTTTCGCTGTTGGCATCTTGCATGTTTCACCATCTGCCAACAACTTTGAAAGTCTTCTCTCCATCTCCATCCATACTCCCTCAACCTCTCCCTTATCCCTCTTTCCTTTTCATGTTTACCTATTTTACTTCTTTTCATTTCTTTAAAACTTGTTTTCTACTTATTCCATAGCTGTCCCTTCCTTCTACCCCCTACCTTTTTATAACCTATTTCCCTCAACTTTCTTTACCTGTGACCACTTCTCCACCTCCTCTGGGGTCCAGGAAGGAAAGAAAGACTTTAGCAGGTTCCTTGATGCCTCCAGATACATGGCCTTCCTATCACGGTTCCTTGACCACTGGGGGACCCACTCTGCCCAGCGCAGCACCCCCAGCCCGAGGTACCTCGGGGCAGGTAAAGCTGCCTCCAAGTCCTGCTGTGTCTTTTGGAGGTGGTTGTCCAGCCGTGTGTGTTGTGGTAGCCCCCCATTGACCGGTGTGTCTTTGTCCACAAAATATGGGTAGTTCCCAAGTGTGTCCTCGTAAAAGACTGCCACGCGGCCCTCCCGTTCCATCCCGAAAGATCTGGGATCTGGTCGACCTGAGCAGGAAGAGTCAGGGATGCCCCAAAAGATGATAAAAGGTTGTCCGGACAGGAGAGGGGGGCGAGCTGGCTGGGGTGGACCGGCAATACTAAGGTCAGCAAAGGCAGCAAGCAGGAGAAGGAGGGTCAATACAACTGAAGGCTGGATTTGAAGGATGGCTGATAAAAAAGTTGCATGAGTCCTGAGATTGTAAGGTGTCAGTTTTGGTTTGGGCTTTGGGTCTGGACGCGACCGTGGCTCGGTCCACGCCATTGAAGCGGCCACCTCTCAGGTTCTCACCCCTCCAGGCCTTTACAGCCAATCATGTTCCTGTAAAACACATAGTAGAATTCTGTAGGGTGATAAACAAACTCTTGACCTAGTAATGAGCAGAAAGCAATGAACAGAATGATTCCACTGTGTCATCTGCTGCTAGTGTCATTTAAGAAAACCTCACTCTGAACAATTTACACAGGGTCTATTCCTTTAATGTCTTATTGGCTCCAGTTAATGCAAAAACATTTTTTTTTGTGATTTGTGGATTATAACTGTAACTGGGATATTTTATCTTGAAAACAAGCAAAAGCCTCTGAATATCCTGATATTTGCTTCTTTGTTTTGTCACCTCAGTGTCATATTTTAAAGGCTTTAAATCCTTCCTTAAACTCTTCATATCTTCTCTACCATCCTTCATCTCCCCCATTTAAAGTGGGTGTAGTGAAATCAGTGACAGATTATAGATTTCTCAAGGGTTCCCCCAGTCACACATGTCATGAAGAAAGCCAGTGTAGTTAATATTTGATACACTCAGTGATGTAGAATACAGTAGACACTCAGTAGGGGTCCAGGTTTTCAAATGTTTACAGATTGTGTACAAGGCTGCACACAGTGGTAAAACAGGATAAATGCTGAGTGGAATTACTAGCGACTCCCACATGCACTTGTTTAAATACTAATCATCTTTTACCGACCTTCCATTTCAAGGCAAATAGACTGCTGCAGGAATGAATCCTAAAGCCAGTAAATTGAGTTAACATTTTTCCACCTCTGGTTCTCTCACCTTGACGTCCTGTTACATACAACACAACATAAAATCCATCGGTAAATACCCCACTTGTGAATTTTGAAGCTTTTATGTGTCTTTTAAAAAGGTGGTTGCTAACAAATGGCTAAATAAGACTACAGAGGTTGTCGGTGAAATGTCAGCGTGCAGAACACAAAGACTTGATTCCATAACTATGGTCTCCATATTGCTATCTTTCTTGCATATTTGTGCAACCAAAATATATCTTTCGGCACTGTTTTGTACTGATTCACAGATAAGTAAAATAAGAGTAGTAAGTAATACTACTGTTCTATGAATACTACTGTATTCTGCAGTTGGATTTGAGGTTTAAAAATTAAGCTTTTTATCCATTTATTATAAAATATGTTGTAATTTCTCTCTCACTCTCTCATGTGGGGAGGTCAGCGGAGGTTTTGAGTGGATTGTAATTTTTATATAATTTAATGTCAAATAACTAACCTATTGAGATCACTACCCATTTACTTAAAAGTTTCTTAGTGTTACCCAGACATTACCCAGCAGATACATTGTGGCTCTTTGTGCTAGGAGACAATAGCACCCTTGTTTCTCCTTTCATAGCACATATCCCTCACATTGAGAGACACCTAAATGTCAGAGAGAGAAACTCACTTGGGTATGTAAATAGCCCAAAGTTGTCTTTTATTTTAAGAAGCTGTTAGTTATTATAGCATTATTGTCAAATTTATCACACTATTTCCTTACAATTAACTTTGTGAGTCACATTATAATTCCCATTTAGTGCTATGAGACTGACACCCAGATGGCCACTGTGTGACTCACTCAGCTAATAAGGATAATGAGGAATAAAGTGCTAATATACGTTAGCAGTACAGTATCTGGCCAGTTCAGCCAGAGAATTTAGACTAGCACCATACACTCTTGAAATGTTGCCACCTAAAAATGTTTGTATTTTATTTTTTACTTTTTTATTCTTAGATGCACTACATCTCAGAGTGACATTATATTTTATTCCACTACATTTTCCTGACAGCTGCTGGTTCAGTTTTTACAATTTTACATGTTTTGCATGTAAAATACCCTCATACAATATCATGGATTTTAAGTTTAAACAAAACTATTTGTTAGACCACCTGCAGATTTGAAATACTGCCTACAGATTAATGCATCAATAATTTAACACCCAGACTTCAGCAGAGGCAGCAAAACTGACAAAGACACTTTGAAGATGAGTGCTGGAGTTGCTTCCTCCCAGTGTGTGTTCGTGAAGCTTTTACACCATTTATTCCACTGTGGATCATACAACTTTAGTTTGGAGATGATGGAAAACATACAAATGCAGTGATAAGAGACCCAAAACAGTACAGGAGGGGCGCGGTTTGTACTGAAGAATAATAAATATTCTGAATTTACAGGTCTTTTTGACATATAACATAAAAAATAAAAAAAATCTCCTGTAGCCGCTTGTTAAATTTAAAGGAATCACACACTGGAAACAAAACTTTTGACAAATAACTTTTTTTCCTGCATGGAAGTTTTGTCATATTGCCTGTATTGTGATTAGACTTGTTACTATGCTGTCAAATAAAATATAATCAAAATATATATTATATATAATATATATATATTATATATATTATTTGAAATAAAGTTCTGCTCATGTAGCAGTCAGCCTGTCTGGCACAGGCACAGAAGGAAATCCTTCCATATAACAGGAAGGTAGTTGTCAATAATAATAGATTGGATTAGGCCAACTGGGAGGAATATACAGTGCTGTTCCACAGTTACACTACAGGACTCTGCTCTTATTCAACAGGCAGCACAAGGTATGAGATAATGAGAACGGGAAACAGCACTAAATGTTACTCTTTTTAAATAATGTGTGGCTGGTAAAATGTGAAACATAACAATGGATTCTACCAGGGACTACCTCTCCTGTTGTTGCCCATGGATGTACAAACAGCTATCTCTGGATTACTTTGATATTCAAGAAAACTTGTCTAAAAAATGTGATGATTCTCGGGCAAGTTCTGGAGTTATAAGGTGGCTTTAAGCAGATTTATTTTTAATAGACATTTTAATAACAATTATAATATTATCATCATTAAGTCACAATGAATGTAAAATATGTATGTCTGTGTGTTTGCATTTAACTGAGTTATGATTTAATGAAGAAGCCTAAGTACCTTCATTTCCTCCATCAGCTGAGTGTCACAGCCTGCTGCTGAGACTGTTGGTAAATGGGCCAAACTATTAAAACGTTGTGAAACCTGTTGTTTTCAGAATACTGCTATACATCCTGTCTCTCCCTCTGCACCCTCCTTAACTCTCCCCTGCCACTCTGGGGAGGCACGTCTTACAGTTGACCAACAGTCTGAACTCTACTGGAGACATACACGCCTTTCTTCTTAATGATATTCCCTCATTTGGTGTTCTGATGATGACTATAAGGAGCAGCGTCTAACACTCAGCTAGCTTAGAAATCTCCTATAGGGGTTGGATTGGTTTTAGCATATGATTCACATTATATTCACATACATCAGACTATTCAATGATCCCTAGTAGTGTCCTGGTTCGAAGCAGCTTCATATTTATTCAGGCTTTTCCTTTTATATGCATTTCAACTTCTTTACGGTGGATTTTTTAAAGGTTTTTGGATTACAGACATATTGAATCCACAATCACATTGTGTCCTATTCCTCTGGTGTTAACAAAGGACTGTAGCATTTTAATGTTTTCCAGCTTATTTTTTTTCACCAGAAACTTGTCACATTTTGGCGAAAAAGCTCCAGCAATTGCTTGTTAGGGGTGGCAACTCCTCCCGACAGCGCAGAGAGCCGCTTGCTCTCTAACAAGCCATTAAAAAGGGAAATTTTACACTATGTGACGAATGCCTGGTAGAGACAAAGTGAAACTCAAAATGCCAAGGGATTCTTGTAACATGTATATATTACCGGTATGTGCAGATAAAGACACACAAGCTTTGAGGAGGGAAAAGAAGGGACTATATTTGCGCTTTACACCCTCACAGGTGTTTTCAATTGACTTTGCTGATTAGACCTCCAGTCAGGTGGAGGTTAGTGCAGCTAAAATATGTGACGTTACCAACCTAACTGACAGGAGAGTGAGGGAGCTGTCAATCAGGCGCCGTCTGTACACGCCCACACAGTCCTGAGAGTCTAATCAGGCTAAAGTGAGAACACCTGTGTGGGTGTTCAGGGGCATTACATATGAACAAATAACACACTGACGAAGTGTGACACCTCTGCAACACAACTACAGTATGTTAACAGGACAAGTATGATGAAAACCATTTCACGCCATTATTTGATTTAGACGTTTAGATCGTTTCATTTGCCTCACCGTAGTTCTCATCTAAAAAAAACAGCCGTTGAGTTCTAATTATATCTTACACATGAATGCGTAATTGCCTGATTATACGCAGCTTCAGCGGTACTGATTAATTTGCACATTCCTTGTGAAATCTGTTTGAAAACATGATGTATAAATACATTATTAGAATTGATTAGATTAGAATAGAAAAGGTTTGATCTAAAAAAAAAGTTAAAGTTATCCACCTCGGTTCATTTTAGGCATTTAACTGATGCTCTTATCCGCACAGACTTCCGAAGAACAGTTAAATAAGCTCCAAGATCACCAGCGTTATAAGCCACTAATACTAAGGAGGTCAGAGGTAACAGAATGCACAGTGTGCTGCAAATATCCCAGTGTCCAAGTCCATCATTTAAAAAGGTGCATAGAAGATGGGAAACATGAATGAAGAATACATTTACTTGTTTAAATGATTCCAAAACTGTAGATTGTGAAGAAAGATGATTTAATAATGCTCTGTATTTGAAGATATTTATTCTCCACTTAATTGAGAATGGAGATTTACCTTTGGTATTGTCCCGGAATTGAAATGTTTAAAAATAGATGTGTGAAGTCTTGTATGATTTCAATGCCTCCTCTAGAGCTTCCCACTAATAACTCCAGGTTTTACTATAATTGCCTACAGTGTTATTACAATTATCGTGTGCTTTTTAAAAAGTGCCAGTACTTTGCAACTTCTCCAACTGCTACCTTTTTTTTTTTTTCCAGTAGCTGTCATACTGTACAGTGTGTAATCCTTCACTCGTTGGTGGTGAATGGTAAACGTGATAGCGGGCTAATCTGGTCTGTGTTTACCTGTCTGTCTGGACAGAGGCTGATCCTGAGCCCACCGCCC